CATAATAGACAATCCGTTGTTTGCCCAAAACCGCAACAACTTCATGCCGTTATTATTGAGGTCGCTAGGGTCGTTTTTTCCAATCACGCCGTTCCATTTTTCAACGTCTACTCCGACGTGCGCATTAAAATGGCCCATTAATATGAGGGACTTTGTATTCGGCACTTCAGACAGAGCACGCTGCACTTCGTCAAGGAAGGTATCATATTCTCCATCCAAACTGAGCGCATAGACCTGACTCTCGTCAACAAAACGCCCAGGCTGTGGAGTCCTGAACCTCAGTGGATGGAATCTGTTCTACTCAGGCGTCGATATCACGACTCGCGATCAGGCCGGTGTTGGCTTTCTGGTGGAATGCAACCTTGCCGATAAAGTAATCGATTGGAAGCCTATCAGCGGAAAAGTGATAGTCCTCCGACTGAAACTACAACAATCTAAATCGATTACCTTGTTACAGGTTAAAGCATGAATATCATATTTTAAAAGTTTTCGGGAGAATATGTTCATTGTTGGCTATTTTCGACGCCGATAGTTTAAAGCGAGTTAGAGATACACTTTCCGTTCGGGCCTGAAAGAGTCACTGCCAAATAATTAAGCAGTAAATATCGGTCATCTTCCGTTTTTTCATCTGTCTGAACTGTACTGCATGAAACAAATATAGTAAAAGCATTAGAATAAAGATTTGCCGGCATAAACAATTTAACATGGGTATTTATCATACTTTTGTAGTGCGCTCGATATTGTTGAGGCATTCCACTCTCGAGCATTATTGATGCATTAATTCTGACTTTATTGGGACATGTCTCGTATCTCCAGTTAATTTGCATGCTAACAAGCCCGAACAATCCACTGGATGTTTCACTCCTGATTGCAAGCATTCGATTCTCTGAGTTTAAATGTTTGAACCCTATACGTAACGCTTCAATTATTTGGTTTCTTCAGAAAACTTTGTTATGCCCCGTGCTGATTATAATATTATACAGTCAGATATAAGGCATATAAGGTAACGGGGAACCTAGGAGATATTGGAGTGAGATAGCACATTTTACACATCTTTGTATTACCAGACCAGAGAAATCCTGTTTTTCGCTGCCGTTCTTAATTCAGCCACTTTCAACACGTTTCTTTGCTAGCTATACTCAAGCAAGTATGACTTTCTTGCTCAACAGAACAAGCAGTCCATATTTTTTTGATTCTTAACCCAAGATCTCCGCTGTTCAAAACCAAGCTCTTTGTACTGCGACACATCCAATCCTGAGAGTTCGATTTTTTTCTGCAGTGCTCATAAAGGTTCAAGAGTCAAACCAAAGTCTAATTCTACCAAATCGAATTTTTAGAAGGTCACTGTGATTTTTATCGTCTATTTTGATTCTTTCTCTAAACTGAATATTCAACATTTCATTGTAAACTATTATTCAGTCATATTGCATGTGAGGATTGGTTGGTATTAATTTTATTAATAGCTTTGTTAGTCATTTCTTTAGTCATAGCACTATTTTACTGATTCCTTGGTAAGTCACAAACTGGAAGACAATGCCTAAATTGTTCTTTACTTAGGCAATCTGACTTACCAAAGCATCAAATCATCTCCAGCATAAAAAATCATATTTTTATACATCATTTTATTTAGTTCAAAGTCCTGTTTTCTCCATTTGTTATCCTCCAAGTAACCTTCTTTTGCAGTCTTCATTAAGAAAGAAACTTTCGACTTGGCATCTTGAATGGGACATAAACGTTATTATGATTATTTAATGCAATTAACTGCGCAGGGTGTTACTACAGTAATATATTCTTTAGGACTGTAGTGTCAGTTCAGATTTGACTTAATTTCGTGCGTAGCGTTTATTTAACTTCCTTTTTTACGGATTCTGCTTTGCTTATGAATGATCCGGACTTATAAGCAGATAATATTTACATGTAGGCTTTCGTATTAGTCTTGCCTGGTTAGACTAAGTAACCAACTTAGACTACTGGTTACTAGTTAACGCCTTTACAGTTTTTCAGAATATTTAAAGTTGCTAACGAAATCATTCCAACTTGTTAACTGTTTCCCTTCCTAACCTGAGAATTGTTTAA